GGGGGGGGGGGGGAAGAGCAGGGAACACAAGACACAACATTCCCTTAACATGCAAACGGTTTTCGAAGAACACAGAGCCGCATCCCTCAGCACTGCCACAGGGATGTATATCACTCGGTACTCGGCGTCTTGCATTTCTTTTTTTTTTTTAAGAAAACAATCCTCCACTTGGCTCTTTTATATTGTCTATTAACCATAAAGCAAGGGTGGAACTGGATAGCGTGTATTCATAAACGAATACATTCACGAACATTCACAAAATGACTGCTCGCTCTCTAAGCAAACACAGACTGGCTCTTGAACCGCCCAAACCGCGCAGCCCAACATCCTATGGAATAGATGTGGCACCGCAACTTTCAGCGGCTACCAGGCTAAATACANACACACGCATGCAGGAACGTGGCAGGCTACGGGGGGCTCGTCCGTCCCCCACGTGGTTCAACAACATGGTCCTAGATGGCACTGCACTCTAACAGCACGTGATGAGATGTATCTCTTAATGTAACTCGGGAAAACTGAGAACACACCTTGACGAGCAAAAGGAACAATCGTTAGATAGTAGCGCTGACGCCACCCCTCCCTTCACGAGTACGAGACCACCATCCCTTGTAATAGCGAGCGGACCGTCAGTGCATCTCCGCAAGCCGCTCGTCTACACCGGGGGAGAGACAGTTGGAGAGAGAGAGAGATGGTCTTAGAGTATTCATGAATATAGGTGGAATGAGTTGTTTCTTTTGGATGCTGGGATGTTGTTTGGTGTAAATAGGGGTTGTGTCTGTTTTTTTTTCTGATTTATGACGTATTGTTTCCTCTCGCATTAGTTGCTGTTGTTGTTTTTTCTTCGTTTAAGACACGTTGGAGATACTTTATTTTTTGTCCTCGTAGGGAGAGCAGAGATGAGCTTGGGTGGATTTCGTCAGGTCAAGGCGTCGAAGCACGCGTTGCGTACATACCACCCCATTAATGAGTTTGCGGATAAAACCAAGCCGTCATCGTCGCCAAAGAGCCTCATTAAGCTCTCTATTGGAGATCCAACGCTTGACGGAAACATTCGCGCACCGACTGTGCTGACAGAGGGGATGGTGAATGCCGTGAGGGGTGGGGCGGAGAACGGATACACCACGGCCGTCGGTGATGATGAGTCACGAGAAGTTGTGGCGCAGTATTGGCAGAATCTTCTCGCCCCTGAGCGCCGCGCAACGATTGAGAAGGAGAACGTCGTGATTTGCTCCGGTGGCTCACATGGCATCGTCCTCTCCATCACTGCGTTGTGCAACGAAGGTGACAACTTGCTCATCCCCAACCCCGGCTTTCCACACTACAAGACGGTGTGTGTCAGCTACGGCGTCGAGCCCCGTGCGTACCGCTGCGACCCGCACAAGAACTGGGAGGTCGACCTCCTGGACGTCCGCCGCCTTGTCAACAGCAAGACAAAGGGCATCATGCTCAACAACCCCTCCAACCCCTGCGGTAGCAACTTCAGCCGAAAGCATATTGAGGATATAGTTCGGCTTTGTGAGGAGCTGCAACTTCCCATTATATCCGACGAGATCTACGCAGAGGTTGTCTTCACAGGTGAGGTGTTCACGTCCGTTGCAGACATCGACACATGTGTGCCGCGTGTCATCCTCGGCGGCACCGCAAAAAAACTAGCAGTGCCCGGTTGGCGCTTCGGCTGGGCTATTCTCGTGGACCGCGACAGTGTGGCAAGGAGCTGGGTTGACGGGATGGACCGCTTAACACAGCTGCATGCCGGCGTGAGTTCTGTCGCTCAAAAGGCACACGCAAATGCCATTCTGCAGGTGCCACAATCACATCTGGACAGCATGATCGCTGTGCTTGAGGAGGGCGCCAGTGCGTACGATTCCCTCACCGAATTTGGCTTTGAATACATAAAGCCTCGCGCGGCTATGTTTGTCATGGTAAAGATCAACTTCAGTCAGTTCAAGGACATCAAGAGCGACGTGGAGTTCTTCGAAAAGCTGCTGGAGGAGGAGAACGTGCAGGTGCTGCCGGGAGGCATTTTTGGTCTTGACGGATACTTCCGCGCGACCATAACACGTCCTGTAGGCGTCATTCGCGAAGCTGTTGATCGCATCGGACAATTTTGCAAACGCCACGCAAACTAACACGGGGTCACCAGCGGAGCACACCTGTTGTCGCCAGAAGCACAGTGCGCGATGCACTTTCCCGCAGATTGCACCGGCTACGAACACCACGCGCAGGCACAACCTTTTCCCCTCAAGACACACCAGGAGGGTCACCACCCCACCCAACTTATTCGGCACGAACAGTCAATCAACCACAGCACCCCACTACACGCCGGAAAAAGCAGAAAAAAACAACCTGCATTTCTATTCTACAAGCCTCGAAGACTTCGGAAACAGAAACCAAGTCATAAAATAACACACACCCGGGTAAGACTGAGCATCGCGGCCGAAAGAAATCATTCCACAATTAAATTTGCACCTAACAATTTACTCTCAAAATAAAACTTATAAGTTTTCACGCACCCTCAGGCAGAGGGGCGGCCACCGCCTGCACACTGCCCCAGCGAGCTGGGCCGTGGGCCGCCATGTGTGTCCGGCGTACTGACTTGGGCGCCGCGGCTCCTTTCCCGACCTTTTTTTGTTCCCGTTTGCTCTCCGTCTGTGGCGTCCGACGCACCGCGCCGACGTGCGCCACGTTGCAGCAAAGCATCTGAACGAAGAAGTGACACTGAGGCAAGAAGAAACACACATAAAAAAAAGAAATACCATGAGCTCCTGGAACGTCTCCATTTCGTCCCACGCGGACCTTATCTACAACCCCATCCGCACCGTCTCTGACAACGCGAAGCCGTCGCCCTGCCCGAAGCCCATCATCAAGCTGTCGGTGGGCGACCCGACGCTCGACAAGAACCTTCTCACGCCGCCGACTCACGAGGCGGAGCTGAAGAAGGTCATTGACACGCAGGAGTGGAATGGGTACCTCCCGACGGTGGGGTCGCTGGAGGCCCGTGACGCCGCCGCGACGTGGTGGAGGAACAAGTTCGTCCACAACGAGAAGCTGAAGAGCGCGATCGTGAAGGAGAACGTCGTGATGTGCTCCGGCGGCTCGCACGGCATCCTCATGGCCATCACGGCGGTCTGCGACAGGGGCGACTACGTCCTGCTGCCGGCTCCGGGCTTCCCGCACTACGAGACCGTGTGCAAGGCCTACGGCATCGGCATGCACTTCTACAACTGCCGGCCAGACAAGAACTGGGAGGCGGACCTGGACGAGATCCGGAAGCTGAAGGACAACAAGACGAAGCTGTTTGTGATCACGAACCCGTCGAACCCCTGCGGCAGCAACTTCAGCCGGAGCCACGTGGAGGACCTCGTGCGGCTTTCGGAGGAGATGCGCCTGCCCATGTTCGCGGACGAGATCTACGCCGGCATGGTCTTCAAGGGCAAGGACCCCAACGCCGTTTTCACGTCCGTGGCGGACTTCGACAGCACCGTGCCGCGCGTGATTCTCGGCGGCACCGCGAAGAACCTCGTCGTCCCTGGGTGGCGGCTGGGCTGGCTGCTGTTCGTTGACCCGCACGGCAATGGCGCCGGCTTCCTGCAGGGCCTGCAGCGTGTGGCGATGCTGGTCTGCGGACCCAACACGCTTGCGCAGGGGGCCCTTGCCGAGGCGCTCCTCAACACCCCGCAGGAGTACTTCGACAAGAGCGTGAGCCTCATCGAGGAGAGCGCCATGTACCTCTACGAGCACCTCCGCGAGTGCATCGGCATAGTGCCGACGATGCCGCAGGGGTCGATGTACGTGCTGTCGAAGGTGGAGGTGGAGCGGTTCAAGGACATCAAGAGCGACGTGGAGTTCTTCGAGAAGCTGCTGGAGGAGGAGAACGTGCAGGTGCTGCCGGGCAACATCTTCCACGCGCCGGGCTTCATGCGGGTCGTGACGACGCGTCCCATCTCGGTGTACCGCGATGCGGTGGAGCGCATCAAGGCGTTCTGCCAGCGCCACGCTGCCCCGGTGAAGAGCTAAGATGCTGGCGCCAAGCAGCACCTCTCGCCGACGGCATGACCAATGGCTGGTGGGTGATTTCGGTCTCATTCTCGCTTTCTGTCTTTGTTGGGTGAAATAGCCCCTGTGCCAGAGGCGGCGGCGGCGGCGCGTGCGAGGGGAAGGGAGAGCAGCAGCCGCCGCCATCACGGCACGCTTCTAATTACATCTTATGCGCCTCTGTGTTTTTGGTGAATTTATGTTTAGCCGGCGCGTCTTCACTCTTCGAGGACGGCTTTTCCAGCCACCCACCAACAAAAGTAAAGCACACATATATAACCCCCTTCTATTTCTTGTGTGGAACACCATCAAAAACGAGCAAGCCGTCACTGTGTGCTGATTGTTAGGCCCCAGCGAGCTGGGCCGTGGGCCGCCATGTGTGTCCGGCGTACTGACTTGGGCGCCGCGGCTC